GACATCCTCTTGCTAGCTTTAAAAACAAAAAGGTGATGGCACATTATTAAAAGAAATTCAACTACATTCTGTGTTTTGAAAAAAGAAGTTTAAATACAATTTTATTAACTTTTTTTTGCCAAAAAAGGACCAAAACATGTCTACAAGGGACTCCAGCTAATGTTATTGAGCATTGTAATGTAAAAAACCTCCACAAGCAAGCACCCCTTACCTTAATTAAATTTAATCTCAGACAACTAAACCTTTTGAGAAAATCTGTGACTTAGATAGAAACAAAGAACAACAACTCAGACGTGAAATGAGTTTATCAACATCTCAAGTGGCCAGTAACAAAAGGGAACAAAAACATGAGATTAATCACTGCGTGGATGCTGGGTGCAAACATCCGTCTGAAAGATTAAACTTCCAGCTGTTAGCGAGAAGTGTTCTTGGATGTTCCTGTAGAATGGGAGCGCCTCAAACCAAAAAAAAACAAAACAAAACAAATGTTTTCAAGTCTAATCTTGGTGCAGCTGGATCTTTTTTTATGCTGCTTTTTCTTTTACTGCATCCATCAGTAGATACCAAACACACACATTTCTGTACACACACGCTCCTTCAGCACAGTTACACCAGCTTCTTTGCCTCGAAGAAGCTCTTGAGGTGTCTCATCTGCCAGATCCCTATGGCAACCAGGATGAGGGTCTGAACGATGGACCACCAAAGGACACGCTGGTTGGTGCTCTCGCTGGTCTGACGGAAACGCTCCTCACGGTACTGAAGACACACAGACAGTAGGAGGAATTACATTAAAACAAATTAACAGATTCTAAGTAAATTTTTCCATTAATTTATAATATGTGCATTCATAAGTACTAATTACTTTTTGTCTTTTTGTTTGCATTAGATAAAGCATCAAAAAAGGAAAGTATAAAGCTGATATGACTTCTGCTGAGGTGTGAAGTAAGCAGGGCGATTAATCGAATGTTCTACTTAATTTTTTGTCCACCAATGTAATCCTTGTCGGTCCACTGCTCAGAACTGCATCCGTTCACTTATTTTTCTTAGATATGTTCTCATAGCGGATAAACTAGCTAACTGGGTGAGCACCACATTTATTTGACATAATTTCAAATATTTTTCACAGCTTGAATTTTGTTGCCCTTTAAATTAAGGTCACCTCCCAAAGAAGATTGAAAGGAATGCAAGTCATTATAAAAGAAATTAGCTTTAAAAAAAACAAGAGACTTTGAAGCCATATCTCCCATCATTAGTTGTAAAGTAAGGCCAGGTTCCTCCATCTGTTGTATTGTCTAACCCCATAGACTCTATATGTTGGTCTAAGTAAGGCATGTCAGCTGGCCTGACTAAGACTCTGGAACCCTGATTATAACCCTGATAAATATTGAAATTAGACGTTTGGACCAGTGGATAATATTATCTCTGGTAATTGACAGTGTCTCTGGTTGAAGAGTGCATTTAATTTCCCTTGTCCTGGATAGTCTTTCTCTTGCAGCCCTACACACCAGCTGCAGGCCATGCCTGTAAATCTGCTCCAACATCTCGCCTTGTCTTACAGTACCAAAAGGCCTGAAACTATTCCACCTTTACCATCCACACTTTCCTTTTTAGTCTGGTTAGATCTGATCTGTACACTGATACCACAGTGAGATGGTAGCTAATAGAAACAGCTTTTATCTGATCCTCCATCCAAGGTTTTAGACATCTGGAATGGATTGCCACTGCACATTAGACAGGCCACCACTCTGTCTCATTTTAAAACTCCGCTTAAAACCCACCTCTTTTCTTTGGCTTCTGACACCATGTGGAGTGTTGATTTTATGTATATACATGCATATTTCTATCCTGTGCGGGCAGTGCTTTTATTTTATTTATTTTATCTTTTTGTGCAGCACTTGGAAACCTTGTGTTTATTGAAATCGTGCTATATAAATAAAGTGGATTGGATCTGATTATATTATTGTAATTCACCACCCTATATGGTTTGGAGAAATAAAAATATAAATTAATCTCAGTTTGAACTTTTCTATTTCGCATCTATAAAGTGGTGTATTTCAGCTTCACTGTCATTGTTTTGTTTTGAGCTGCAGAAGTCAATAAAGACCTCTTTGACTTAGATTATGGAGGAACACCCTGCCCCCCCCCCTGCAGCTCCCAGATTGCAGACTTGAACTGACCCGCTGGTAGTTCTGCTCCTTCTGGATCTGGTCCACCTGCTCCACCAGCTGCCGCACTCTGAGCTGCAGCTCCGTCAGTTTGTCCTTGGCAGCAATCTCAGCGTAGTTATTGGCGTGTTCGCCCACCTGGATGTCCAGATGAACACGCTGCAAGATAAAACAAAACAACAAAATAATGTCAGCGCTGAGTGAGACATCTTCATCCAGAACCTCGAGCCAATTTCCATTTACAGATTTTATGCAATTTGTGTTTTAATTTCTTAACATAAAGTGCATTTTATTTTCCTTCAAAGTAAAACTGTCTTGTCAGACAGGAAATTGATATTGTGTAATATGAAATTGGCTGAGAATGGGCTGCCTCCTCACCAGCATGCCTCCAGCAAACAGGGAGAACTTTGAGGAGTTGGAGTGGAGGCAGATCTGATGTTCTCCGGGTGTGTGCGACGTAAAGGTGAATCGTCCCTCGGAGCCGTACTGCCGAGACAGAATCACCTGCAGGAAACCAAAGAGGTGATCAAACCAGTTCAAGCTCCAAACATGCTGCCAGAACCTTAATCACATCAAAAGCTAAAAAAAAGGCAACTAAATGCAACAAACTGCAGCACTTTAATGATGTCTTTGTACACAGAGGGCTTAGCTTTACCTTGTCATCAGGGTCTTTGACTTCAACAAACATCCCCAGACCCTGTGTTGCTGGTAGATATTCTTCTTTCTGCTTATCATAGAGCTGAGTTCGGTAGTTACCTGGACATAGACACAGAAAAATTAAACCCCCACAATGATTTCAAGCTGAAAACAAACATAAGCAACATGAAAGAGACGCATTATTTTCAATATAACCTGCATTCAAAGTCAACAGTAGAAGTTAACAGTTTGATTTCATGTGGTTTTAAAGTCTGCAAAAAAAAACAAAAAAAAAACAGCTCAACTCTCCCATAATAATTCTGAGTTTCATTTTTTTTTCTCACATGAAATTAATAAAAAAAAAACTTCACACAAGTGAGGGCTGCCACCATGTGAACATGCTCTTTAAAATTGAGCCTTTTAGATCCTGGGGATATTATTGGTTAAACTTTGATACTTTACACAGAGTTGCTCCCAGCTGTGTTCAGCTTTGCCAGGAAACACATTCATCACAGAGTCCTTTGCAAAACTTTTGTGGACCAATTTCCAAATATCTATACAGTGCAAAGGGTCTTGATCCTGGGATTAAGGGCTCCAAAGCTTACTTTTCAAATATTATGATTCTCACTTATGATTTTCTTGATCGATCTTAAACAGTCACTGAGGCAGAATGTTATCTGAGGCTGTGGTGCTAGGCGTAAAGGGAGAATTGGCCTGTTCAGGTTGAAAATAAGATACTACTTCATGTTCATGGTGGTGTTACAGTATTGCGGTGCATATAAATCACAGGTCAGTCCTTTCAACCATCAACTATGGTGAGAAGAAGAATAAAGGCAGCTCCATGAGATGCTGAATGGATGAGATTCTATATGATGTTGGGAAGCAGGTTTCTGTTTCCACCTCATAAGCTGAAGGAATAGATTGTGGAAGTGAGGTTTGGGGTCTCTGTTAAAGCAATGGTCTCACCGTCCTGGTCTCAGATCAGCCAGAGCAATGAGGAATTCAACTATATTTATAAGCATGTAAGTACACTATTCATAGAATTAACTTTCAACTGATATAAGAATGATGGAATCAAACTTTTTACCTTAAACTCCAGCCTTCTGTGTCCCTTTATAGCGTTTCAAACATATGGAAACACTAACTTTCAACATTTTAACAGTAACAGTGTTAGTTAGGTTTATTGCAAGCATTCTACATATGCTGTCTTTGGTGTTCACCATTGGTTTCAATTTAAGACACATAAAAGCTATCTGGGTGAAGAGTTTCTTTTAGATTTTAGGTTCTTCAATCAATATTTGTGTTTTAAGAATAAACCACGTAGACTCACCCACCTGTTCTCTTTTTACAAGTAACTTCCTGGAAGTTACGAATGAGATTAACTTCATCTAATGATCTAACATCCATCAAAATATTCTGATCAAGCAGTGTCTTAGCATCAAATACATGCAACAACAAAAAACAACTTGGTTTACTCAGCAGATGCTTGCTGAGTGGAAACTTTTTGGGACATGACAGACAGGTTCTTAGCTCTATTAGCCGTGAAGCTAACTAGCACGGAGGCTAACTAGCTGTTAGCATTGACTCACCGATAATCATTGTCTCGTCTGGGATTTCCTCTATGAAACATTTCTTCTCGGTCTCCCCAATGTGAAAATACAACGAAGAGACGCAGTTGTAGAAAACATTCAGGAGGAAAGCCGAAAACACAAACGAAAGCTGCATCCTGAACCGCAGCGATACCTGAGACCAGAGACCGAACTGAGCCTGAGCACAGACAGCACTGTGCCACGTAAACCCTCGTACAGCGTTAGCCAATCAGCGCGCCTCAGGAGCATTATGGGTATTGTAGTTTTTCATCTAAATATAGCAGCATCAAACGCATCAGGATTTTGAAGCTTATTTCTTATGTTTAAGATGTGTTTTCATAAGTTTTAAAGGATAAACGAATAAAAGGTATCCTGCCAGGTGTCATTACAAGTACCCTTGACCCCAGATTCCATGTTTATTTTTTGTTTAGTAACAAGACTGACAAATATAGGTTACAACATTCATCATTTTATTTGGATGAATACTTCCTTGATTTCTTAAATACAACTTTTATATTATTTTACAAAATATATATTTCTTTTTTTTATCATATTAGTAGGTTCGAGGTCAGATTTGAACTCATTCAACCCCCTACTGTAACTCCTTCATACCACAAGATGGCAGCATTATAACACACCGATGCCCTGCACATAGAAGAAGAAAGCCAAGCCGTTTCCATAGTAACCAGGCGGATTTCCATCATGGCGCCCGGTGAGTTTTGAGCTTTAAAATGTATTTTTTGCTGTTAGACAATCTTTACTTTAACCATATGTTTATTAGCAACACACCGAGAAGTTTGAACATATTTCTGTTCAAGCAGTCGGTTTTTAAAGTTAAAACAAAGATCAAGATCGGTTTCGTTAATCACCAACGCTATTAAACAAAAGCAGATTTTTTTTATCTGAACGACTGGATGCTTTTACCTTTTTCGTAGGTTACTGTTTTATCAAAATGTATTCAATTTGTTATAGTTTTTTTCCTCCTGCTTGGATTTAGAATAACTGTTTATGAATTTAGACTAACTTTTAAGTTATCATAGCTGTATTCTATAATTCTTAGCAGAGACTCATTAATATTAATCCAGACCGTGCATAAAACAGTCCTATTTTCCAACTTCTTTCATTTTGTCCAGGGAGCCGATCAGTGGTATCCTTCCAATTGAAAGTGGAGCAGATCTGCAGCTCGCTCTCTATCTGCTGTTGCTGTCCTTAACTATCTCTTTTCCAGCTCTCCTCAACACCTCTGCAAGTTCTTCTCTACCTGAACACCTGGTACTTTGCTGCCTTCTACTTGGCAGAGATCCTCATGTTCATCTACAAAGGTGAGATTACTGTCTCACATGTTTTGGCAAGTTTGCAAAAGTCTGAAGTTTATGGCCCCTAAGACCCCCCCTTTCTCTCACACAACCAAAGGCTTTTTTATCTACTCAGATTAAACTGTGAAAGAAATTACGGCAGATGAGTCACGTGTCTAGAAAACAGACATTTGAGGCCCATTTCACAAAACCAAGATAAGGGATTAAGTGGGATTTACCGGATATCCTGGTTTAATTAATCTGGACTCAGTTTCACAAGAGCAGTAGCACATGTTACCATGGTGAGTTATTCTGTGCATCCAGCCTGCTCCAAATATTGTTATTTTGTGGAGTACTTTTAACATTACTATGGTATCCTAACCCTTTAATAAAGTCATAATTTTCTATGTGTACATTGTTACTTTTTTATTGTATTTTTGAAGACTGCATAAATCTCATCGTTCTTCAGGTATGACATCCGCTACCTGGGCAGACTGCTGGGTCTCAAAGTGGAGCCCTGCACCATTTTACAGTGATCTGTGTTGGGCTCAGATTTGCTGCTTAACTGAAAAAAGTGACTTTTTGGTGCAGTAAACTCTATTCGTTATAATTTTTACTCTGTATTTGTAGCTTCAGTAAAAACTAGAGTTTCTGAAGTAAATTTTTTCTAATGCAATACATGAATTTTGGGGAAAGAATAAGCTTTACTTAGATTTCTTATACTTATACTGTTCTTTTACTGTTTAAATTTTTAATAGCAGTATGTACATAAACCTAAATATATATATGTAGGTTTATATATAAACTTTACTCTAAAAATATAGCATTTTGAAAAGCACACATGTCACATGCACACTGTAGCTTACAGCAGGAATGATTGTGCTCTGAGTCCAGACGTTACAGGATCACACACAGAGCAAGAGGTAGTCCCAACGACAGTCATTTTGGCACGGTGCAACAGTACTATAAAAGCTTGCTCGCTGCTCATGTGAGTGATATATGCCTTTAGGGCGACAGTCACATCGGATGTAGGAGTTGACCCTGAAATCGAAGGATTGACGGTTCAAGCCCCAGCTCCGACTTTCAGTGTCCTTGGCCAAGACACTTAACCTGCATTGTCTACTGATAGTGGTCAGAGGGTGGCCATTTACCATCTGAACTTGGCATACCCTCCCACTTTGCGCTACATTTTTTAAGTCTTCCAAAAACTTTTCCCAGAGTTGGATGGATTTAAACTGTCCCCAAAAACACCCTGAAGTCAACGTTGCTTTCCTAAATGCAGTCATGACTTTGTCATCTAGGGTAGGAAAATGCCAAGATTAAGCAGTGGGTTCCAGTTAATCATAGTGAAAGGTTGCCTGTCATTAATATTTTTAATTTTTTGTCAAATAAGGTATACGTTATTATTCAAAAAATAACAGATACCTTTATTCAGACATTTTATTCTTCATTAAGAATGATTAGACAGTTTACTGTAAGCTGTTAAATTTTATTGGTGTTGATTTTGTTTCATTAGTGCTGTAATTGCATTCTTCAAAGTCCACTAGTCTGGATGACTGGTTTAAATATTAAAATTGCATTGTTTCAGTGTGTATTTTTGTAAGATTGTTACCACATATTTGTGTAGTAACTATATTACCTTTCCTTAGTTTTGTGAAACAGGGCCCTGGTTTTTGCCAAGTAAAAACATCAGAGGGGAAAAAAAAAAAAAAAAAAAACACTGATGAGCAAAAACAATCAGTGAGAAATACAAAAAGTTACTTCTTAATTTTTTTTAGTTATTGTTGTTTTTAAATAGCAGTGGTGTTGAAACCACTTTGGTTGTTTTCCTGTGCAGGGATTTTACTGCCATATCCACGGGATAATCTCATCCTGGACGTAGTGCTGCTGATTCTCTTCCTTGCTCTGGAGACATTCCGCATTTTTTATGGTGAGAAATGCTTGAAACATTTAAAGCGTACATTTGAGAATTTGTAGAATTCCTATAACGATTCAGTATATTTAGCAAATAAGGACATTTTGTTTCCCTGTTTATGTTGAAATGCTTTATACACCTAGATTCAAACCAAGATACAGCGATACAGTCTCCTTTTAACCTTTCAGAATGGATTTATTCTCAGGAATCAATCCTTTCCTTTTCTGTTTCCTTTTTCTCCAAAAGAGTGACCAAGAGAAACAGGAGCAACATATTTGTTCAGATTTTGAAACGGAAAGGGACAATCTACAAATCCCTTTATACCATCTTATATTTTTGGTAATTCAGCATCTTAATCTGGAAAATAAATAAAAAAATAAATAAATATTTGAATGCATGTTGATTTCTGCAACATTTGAACTCTCAAACTTCTTCACATTTTGTACAATTGATCTTAAAGTTTGTTCTAATTATTACTTCTGTTTCTTCTATAATTATGTTTTTCGACTGAGCTTTATAAATCTTGCACATCTTTGTTGTTGCTGATTTAGTTTTTGTGATTAAATATATATCTTGTTTCTAATCCTCTAAGTGTTCAGATTAGAATTTTTATTACATATAAAAAGATGCAACAATCATTTGGCCAAAGAAGGAATTGGTTCTCAGCGCTGATGGGCAGCGATTGAAAATAATATTCTACTTGAATTGATACAGACTAAAACCTTCCACAGTTTTCATTCCTTCTCTTCATTAGCAAATAAAATGCACTTTGATCATCTTTTTCGAGAAAAAAAAACAAAACTTGGCTCTATTACACTTTGTTTGTTGCCCTGCAAAGTTTGATGTGTCTCTTTGTCAAATAATCAGGTCATCAGCAGGACTGAAGAACTTGGTTTGACACTAAATTATAGGAACCCTGCGCTGCTGTGCCCTTTGCAGACAGCCTTTAGCCTTCTGGGAGGGAGTCTAGAATGGAAACCCATGAAAGGATGAAGGATGCTTATCAAATTGGGAATACAGCTTTTTGGAATAAAAAAAGACAAAAATGTAGCAAAGAGCTAAAGCTTTCCAATATACCAACCAGAACATATGAACATGTGTACATTTGCATGTGTTGCAAACGGTACACATGAAGTAATAATATATGATTGCTGATTTCTGCGAGGTGGTCTGTACCTTCATGCCAAAGCAAGGATACTGAGAATCTACAGAATATAGATCCTTAGTGCCAGATATGAGTGTTGCAAGGTCCCAATGTTAAAGGTATAGTGGAGGATGTTATTTTTCTGGGCAGATCATCAAAATAAGTGGTCCTCCTAATTAACAATGATTCTGGTGATATGTTTACGTAAGGCCGTCCTACGTGCTCGTCCCCATTTTCACTTACCGGTGGTGAGTCTAACATTGTGGAAAAATAACAAATCTAAAAGTAAGTAAGTAAAACTAAGGTTGTATGAGCGATGCAAAACAGCAACTCTTAAACTGAGTGTGCACGAGCAGAAATGGGCTCGTGCACGCTCACGCATGCGTTTAATACGGGTTCCCTCTCAGGAGCAGGTACAGGGTTGTGCATGTGAATTTTTTTTTAAAGGGCAGAGGGCAGGTATTTTCAAAAATTTGCAAAAATCCTCCACTAGACCTTTTAAGGAACTCTTATAGAAATTATACAGTCCTCTCTTCTTACCTCCTTTCTTGCTGTCAGCATTTAGTATTCATTAATTTTACCACTAGAACTGGAATTCAAAAATCTCTAAGGTTAGGGATATATATTTAAATGCATAAATTGGGATAATCTCATAATTGCATTTGCATTTATGCTACTCCAAACAGCAGGCTACATCTAAAGAAAAACTGTTTTCAAGGTGTGCATCCCTTTACATCTGGTATAAAACTAACATTCATATTTTCACACCAATGGTCAAACATGGTGTTGGTAGTATGATGATCTGGAGCTACATTGCTCTTTTAGGGCATGTCTGCAGAAAATCCTAAAGTAGAATCTCTGGATCAAGGATGGATCACTGATTTATTTTTATGGTTTAAAGGGTCGTTTCTCTTTTCACATTGTACCAGGTTGGTTTTAATAAACACAAATCATCATTTAAGAAGTGATGTCTTTGTATTTATTCAGATTAGCTTTAGCTTATTGACCTGAATCATTTGACAGCTGGGGGGGGGGGGCGGTTCTCTGTATATAAGGTGCTGTTTATTTATAGATGGTTAAAACTAAATCCATTTCTGCTCTTTAACTTCACGCTGGTTTCATGTATTTTACCTGTAGGAGATCAGACACTGTATTTGACTAACTGGGTTGTAAGCACTATCAGCACTGCTTTATTGTACAGAATTAAAACTATCTGTGATATCATTCTAAAGTTATAGACATATTTTGCAACATGATTGTTGGACAAGTTAAACATGTTTAGTTAAAGTGATAAAGGTTTGTTGTTACAGATTTATGGTGATGAATTAGACTCAGCAGCAGCAGCAGGCAGTAACAGTTATTAGCCCTTCCTTCTGACTGCCTACAGTGATGATTTTTTTTCCTAGGCTGGAAGGGGAACCTCTGTGAGCGCTCTCTGGCTTCCCTTGTGTCCCTTTTCATCCTGATTCCCTGCACAGCGCTGGCCGTTTACTACCTCCTGCTGCAGACCTTCGTCTTGCGGTTAGAGTTCATTCTCAGCGCTGTGCTGCTCTGCTTCTATGGCCTCGAGTTCCTGCTCGGTGTTATCTCCATTTCTGCTTTCTCCAGGTAATCCATAAAGAGTGTATTAGGAGGCCCCAGGAAAAAAAAAAGATGCATTGATTCATTTTCAGTCTGTTTTGTTTTTCCTTTAAAGGTCCAGAGTGTACTGATGCATCAGCAGCTTTCTTCAGAGAGAAAATGATCTTAATTCCTCTAGGAGGAAATTATATCTAAATATTTTTGTACGTTTTGCTTTGTAGATGTTTTTTTTACTCTGAACATCAGCTTGGATGTCATCAATTGTCTCTAACTGATTTGAAATGCCAGTGAAAAGACAAAACAAGAGATGGGCCGATATCAGGATGTGCCAATGCTCAAATGTTTAAAATAATAAATATATAAAAACATCTATAGAAAAAACAGCATCAGTGACATGATAGATCAGCTCCTTCTGTTTCTGTTGAACCTCATTAGCCAGCAGTCTGCCTTTCAGCTGCAGCACTGTTGGTCCATCTTGTGCTTAGATGTATCTTTTGTTGACTTGTCACCTAATGTTAACCTCCTGCAACATGAAACATGTGTTTAACATTGTTTGTACTGAATCATTCTTTACATAGAAGATAAATAAACTACATCTAGAAGTACAACCAGTGGTGTTCCTCAGAGACCTGTTCTCAGACCTATTTATTTCATGACGATAAGCTTCATCTCCCTGTAAAAAAATGTTTACTTATTTTCTATTTTGAAGATATATTTTACCTCTGCCTCACTAAATTGTTCCCTCTGAACAGCAACAAACCCACAGATCAAAACGTTATTTTATTACATTTCAACGTTGCTTTAATTTAATTATCAATTCTGCTGTTGTCATCATTAACTAGCAATCAGATTTGGGTATAATTTCAAAACCCAGTATTTCCATTTCTACTCTTAACTTGTTTACACTTTAAATCTATTCAAAACCCACAAAGGATTTCTTTTCTTAGAATAAATGGTTTGCTTAATTACCAAACAAGGGGATTATGATAAAGAAAGAAATAAAGAAAATAGGTAAATGACAGGATGAAAAACTTTGCCTTCGACCAATTGTGAGGAAATGGGCTGCAGGGCTGAAAAAGAGGAGTTAGTGAGGAGAGTTCTCTGACCTAATCATCTGATGTTGTGTAACAGAATGAAAGTAATTTGTTGGAGTTTTTACAATAAAAAAAAACACTTTGAATAAAAACAGATGTGTTGGTCATTTGTTTTAATAATCACCAAAAGGTTTAATTTCAATAATGTTAATGTAGCCACCACTCTGACCAGGGTACACATATTCCATAAAAGTAAAAAAAAACTGTTCACTGGAATTTGTTTCGAAGTTTGAGGACGTTTCGTTTCCCATCCAAAAATGTCAGAAATAGCATAGAGTTCGAGGCTTAACCCTTTAAAGCGCGATCCAAGAATAAAACAAAACAGAAAATTACTTTTTTTGGTTTGAATTCCTTATTTGCCCTTTTAACAAAATATGTAAAAAGAAAAAACAGAAATACATTTTTTATATTAATAATTTATCACAATGCGATAAGTCAAGATAATTTTTTGTGTAGTCTTCTACTGGCTGTTATCAGGTATATCTGATTGTGTACAATAGGATTTTGAGCAAAGTTTTTAACCATTAAATTATGCAAAAGGTGTCAGATGCAAAACATTTCAGAAATCGTATGTATCAAATACGATACATTTGGCATTATAGGGTTAATAGAGGTGACCGAAAAACAAAGCCTTGTTTTGGCTAAGAAATCATGCAAATTGAACCGGAACGAACCAAAGGGTCCCCGCCCTTTGGAATGGGGGTTTGTTTGATTTTTTTCTCAGCCTGTGTTACACGATACCTGTCTATGTCTCTGAAAGGGGGCTTGTTAAAGATAATTGTTGGCCTGGCTGAACAGGTGAGGTGCTCTGATCCCCTGTAAGGGGGTGGGGGTCGCGATGATATTGGGAAGGAATCAACTAAATCGCTGAATTGTAGGTTTTTGAAAGCTGAAATCTGAGTCCACCCCGTCTGTTTAAGGTTGGTTTTCTTTCTTAACATAGATGGCTTCCTTCAGCTTTCAAAAACCTCAGGATATCATCTCTGTCCTTTTGTGAAGCTGCCGGGATGAGGATCAGCACCTCCAAATCTGAGGCCATGGTTGTCCACCGGAGAAAGGTGGACTCTCCAATTCAGGTCAGTTTAGGGTCCTTTTCTGAAGTGGAGAATTTAAAGTATCTGGAAGTCTTGTTCATGAGTTAAGGATGGATCGAGCTTGAGATCGATAGACAGATCGGTGCGGCGTCAGCAGTGATGCAGTCGCTGTATTGGACTGTCGTGGTGAAGAGACAGCTTCATACCAGAGAGTCAGCGGGCAAAGCTCTCAATTTACCGATCGACCTACGTTCCCACCACTCATGAGATCTGGGTAGTGATTGAAAGGACCAGATCGTTAATACAAGTAGACGAAATGAGTTTCCTTTGCAGGGTGGCTGGGCGCACCCTGGGTCTTGGCTGCTCAGCTTAAACTTCTGCCTCCGCGACCCGGCCCCGGATAAAGCAGAAGAAGATGGATGGATGTGTAGTGTGATAAGAGTATTCAGAGTTGTAACTTTATAATATCGCCAAATCTTGAATATCACAAAGTCAAATAAGTTGACTTAGGCTAACTGCTCTCTAATCAGCCTAAGTTAAGCTCACTATCAGATAGAAAGAACCTGCAGTCTGATGTTGAATCCAGGCACCTAACGTGAAGCCTGGGGCTGGATCCCAAACAGTTGGACCTGGGCAGACAAAGGCTTGTAGAGAGACCAGAAAATAAACTTTATTAGAGCTGCAAAGTTTTCAGGGTTTTAACAAATTTTCTCGACATGTATCTTTGCATATGTTCAGTCTACATAAGATTGCAAAGCTTTATCAACTTTTGAGGGAAAACTTTTCTTCCTTAAGCCGTCTCTAATCTCAGATGACTAATTTAACAGTAAGCGAACACGCAGTATGTGTCTGTTGCAAAGAGGATAAAGAAAGTGGAATTCTTCTTCCTCCTGACCTGCACGTGTTTATGCTCACAAGGCATTTGTTCTGCTTGTCAAAGTCTCCGTCCGTCTGATTGGGTGCAGCTCGTATTAGACAGATCAGTGTATTTGCATGTCTCCACGATGGCTGCCTCGCTCGTTTCTCTCCGTGAATATAAAGTAGACAGAACTTAAAGCTGAGAGCTTTCATTAACGGGGACATCGCAGGCTTGCACTTCAAATTAAACTGTGCCACTTTGTTGAGCACCAACCTTTTATTCAGAAGTTCACCATCGTCTTTGCAGTCGTCAGGAAACTTCCAGTCAAAATTCTGAAAAGTTGCAAATTTTTACATAATTTTATTTAAACTCAAAAGGATCAACAGCTTTTCTTTACGCTCTCAGGTCACATTGTCTTGCATTTAGAAAAAAAAAAAATCACTTCTTTGTATGAATATAAAGATACACCAGAAACAATAGTTGCTTTAATCCATTATCTCAGATATGTGCACTTAATGAAAAAAGATTTTAAAAACACCATGTCCGTCTGTAAGGAGTTTTAATTAATATCAAAAGTTTGGATCAAACTTAGTCATTTCTTTCAATAATCTAAAACCAGCGCTTAGACAAAGCAGAAATTTTTTTTTTACTTTACTCTGAATATATATATATATATATATATATATATTCTACTCATAAAACATATTCTTTAGATCTCCTAGAAATGGTATGAATGTTCAAGAGCAATTTATGAAATAAATTGAAAATATTTTCCCAAAATTTGTTAAGAGAAAACAATTAAATTAGACTTTTTTATTTTACAGAAGAATGAGTTTTACAAGAAGTAGGAAATATAAAAATAAGGAAATAAAAATATTTTTTAACATTTTTAATTTAGGCATATTAAAATACATTGTGAAGAAAAACAGCTGGAATTTGTTTGAAAAATCACCTCATTAATCATATTTTGTATTTTTCATCTGCTCCTTATTTTTACAATAGATGAAAATAATATTTTGTCATTCATTTTTATCCCCTAAACTAATACAAATGAATAAACTCTTCCATTGATGAAGATGTGCTAAAGTTCCCTGGGAATAAACATATTAGGGAATAAATTAAACATTATAATAAACCCAGCTTATACCTACCGACTTGTATTTTGCAAGCGGTGTGGGACAAGATAAAATCTTCTCGTGTCTTAAAGGCTTCCTCCCCTGGTTTTATGTTCTTGAATTTATAAATTGCTGGCTTGAGATCCTATTATATTAATATTTTTATTTTTTTATAATAAAAATGTGGGCCATAAAATAGAGACCTTGTGTTTTAGTGGGAATAAAACAACTAATACAGGATGACTGTCCAGATTCATGTATAAATGTTTACAATTTTGTAAAAAAAAAATGTTGACTATTTATTTAAACACCAGGTAATGTAATACTTTATGAAGCTGTCTTTTCAATAGAATAGATGGATGTCATGTTTGTCATGACAGGATAAAAAAAATGAAACAATGTAATCAGAATGTACAATAACCACATATTTTTCATTGATCTTTTAGGAAATCAGTAGTTATCACTTTTTCTGTAATATAAATGTACATTTAAATCTAATTTAAGTAAATACAGAGATAAAATAGCATGAAAATAAACAATTATATATTTTTGTGGTACCGGTGAGTGTTCATTTATCAAACCATTAATTTCAATCTTCCTCTTAATTCTTTAATCTTCTTTTCTTCCTGCTTTAAAAATCTAATTGACTAGTTTTGGGAGGATTCTCAGGTTTTATGATGTATTTATCATCAGGAAATAGTTGTTGACATATATGGCCAAGAACCAAATATATCTATCTATGTGCATTTTAAATGGAGCATCACTAGTTACAGCTTATTCAAATCTTAAAAACAGAAAAATGTATTTTTAATTTTTTCGTTAATGAAAGACCGCAATTTTGATTGTTTGGTTGTTTTGTGTTAATTAAATCTTTTTTGAGTGTTTTGTCCACAACCCTTTCCATTCAAAACTTAGTTTCTCCAGTCAACCAGAAGATGTCAGTAAAACTCTATGAATCCCAGCTCAGGAATCTGATAAAGAGGAGAGCCAATAGACAAAGATGCAGAGAAGGAAATTATAAAGTTTATTATTCTGTATTTTTAATGAGATGTTTGTGGCTGATCCAAGAAGATTTTCAAAACATACAACCAGAAATCATGTCATGTAATTACAAGATGCTCCTTCTTATCAGATAAAGCTTGGGTATTTTTACTTTGATGGATGCAATCAGAGAAGTCACACTAGGGATTCTGAAAGATGAGAGGAAGAAGAAGATGAAGAGGGAGGAAAAGAGGAAGATGAACAGCGAGAGA